ATCCACACAGGGCTTTACTTGAGCAAAACAGTTTTATAATTCTCCATTAAATATATCTATGTTCAATATATTTTATATTTACAGATCATCGTGTTCAACTCAGGACTGAGAAAAGAAACAGAGTTCATTCAGAAAAACACACCTCACATTTATTGACTTGTAGTTCTGTGGCTAACAAACATTTTGGCACAAAGACGTAGTTTCATTTGAATTTCCACACGACGACCTGAATCACAGATGAAATAAAAAGCTCAGATTTGACGCAACATTCCTGCGTCTGTGGTGAAATGAAGCAGAGAGAAAAGACTGACACACTGACGCTGACGGCTGGATGAGACACTGCAGTGATGATCAACAGGACACGTTTCAGTTTCTGTGCTGGACCCTCCTCACAGCTGGTCTGGAGTCAGCTCCAGTTCAAGTATCTTCACAGTAAAAGGCCTTACTACAAGCAGCAGCATGTTTCTGTTTCTGTGTGTTACTACAGTCACTGTGGTACAATGAGGCAACAAGTAGGACAATCAGTCACCAGCAGCTGCTGCACCAGCTCAACAGTCACTTCATCATAGTCAGGTGGCATGAAATCAACCCTCAGGTGAACAGGGAGAACAGAGCTCTGAGAAGAAGATGGAGACTGTAACATTCACCTGATTCATGGATTCATTAAACAGATTCATTTTACACGTAGCCAGTGACACTTCATTACTTCACACAGGGAATTGTGATTGGTAGTTCCTTCTTTGTGTTGAGTTCATGTCACATGGAAGTTTATGACTGGAACAATGGTAGTGCTAAATAATAAGGAAGTGCATAAAAATATGGCCGACACAGAATTTAAGGTAATTTGACACAACTCTATTGGATAAATTACCAAATTATCTGTGCGCAGTGTTTTTAGATTGATAACATTATTGATTCAGTGTTCAGGTTAAACTCATTATTGGTAACCATGAATAATTGTGCTTTGTTTAGGAGTTACTGTCGTGTTTGTGTTTCTCTTCCTGTTTTTTTACTGATGCCAACATGAGAGTCAGACACCTGAAAGTAAAACAACTGAGTCAACTGACAAATCTTAACATAATGTAGTCATGAGCTGCAGTCAGAGTGCTGCAGCCAGGGGGTGCTACAGCGTGAACCAAAAGGAAGCTGACTTCTTCTTCTGTTTGGGTTCACTTCTCTAAACAAACATGGCTGAACAGTTTGATGAAGCTCAAGCTGAACATGTCTGTTGTGACACACACAGACTGTCGTCATAGAAACGCTCTGATTAGCTCTACAATGCCCCCTTGAGGACTGGTTTTTGTTAAAGGAACTATTTGTAAGTTTTGCTATTGCTACATAGCTAATATTAGCATTAACTGCTGTTTACTTATCAGGCTAGTAGAAATACTGCAAGTTCAGCATCAAACTTTTTCTTTTTACTCACCAAGAGCCGGTTTTGCTGATATTTCTGTCACTTGTTTTCTTTAATGAAGTTGGCATGCTAACCAGCTAGCCCGTGCCTGTCTGGACCAATAGCAAGTCATTGTAGCATCCAGTATGTCCTGAAGACGTAGCTGCTCAGAGGGGTTTTATAATCTCTTTTACTGTAAACACAACAATGACTGAAGCTCTTGGCAAGACTGGTAAATAAACAGCTGTTAATGCTAATGTTAGCTATGTAGCGATAGCAAAACATAGAAATAGTCCCTTTAATCTACTGCTGCAGAGGAGGACACAATGACTGTGTTCACCAGGGTTTGGACCAGGTGTTGTCATGATTCTGTATCTGTGTGCACCTCTACCCTCCACTCCTCATGACCTGAACAAGGCGTTAGCATTAGCATGTAGCAACCTCTGTCTGATGTGTGTTGCAGCACACGTTACTGTCGTGGTATGAACTATACTTGTGTGTGTGGGTCAGGTTGAGCTGCTGCAGCGGCTGGTCTGGGATCAGCTGAGTGTGTTAGAGCAGCTCTGACATAAGGCAAACAGACTCTTTGGCAAAACAACAGACACAACAGACCGACAACTACAGACACTGTGAGTGTGTACACAGCCTGCTGTTGGAATAATAACCTGTGGACGCTCTGATGACTGGCTCCACCTACACACACATGAAACACAACACACAGCTACACAGCAGAGTAAGGCAGTAATAGACACATACTGTATAAATGTTCATTAGGCTCTTTTTACACACTTTGGTCTTTCAAAATAAACTACTCTGTAGATCAGATATTTGCAGCTTTACAAAATACATATAGATTTGATATGAGCAGCTGTGAGAATAAATACACACCTCAGTGTTTCACCTGTCAGTAAAGAAACAGAAATGAGGCTTTAAAAAGCTTCTACCAGCTCAGGTTAAGGGTCGACTGAGAGTCAGACCCCTCCCCATTAAAGGACAAGTCCACTCTGTTACAGCAGGGTCTTCAGTCCCATCATCTCCATCAGCTGTGATGATGTTCACAATGATGCACAAAACTACAGGAAGACCAGGTTGTAAAAACCAGAACTCTCCTTCAGTCAGTGCCCACCTCCATCAGGATTCATATGCTGCAGTTTTTGATTGATTACATATTATTATTTATAGATTTGATTTTCCTAAAAAGAGCTAAAGAAGAGCAGCAGAGCAGTGACGCTTTAAGTTGATTCTGTCCATGACTTTAACAATTACAGTTAAAAACAAAGACACAGGTTCCAGCTGGTTGTTGATGCTCAACATCAGCAGTGATCAGATCTGAAGCTGCTGACACTGACAGACGTATTGATCTGATGTTACTCTGTGTTTTTACCATTAAACCTCATGTTCAGACTCAGTCCAGCTCTGACTCCTCCTCTGCTTCTATAAATTGTTAAAACACATCAGTCATATGTTCTTCATCACCATGGAAACACACTGTAGTTTATTCTATGGTCTTTGTAACTGTGGACGTTTGTTCTGTCCTCTTTCAGATCCTGGATCAGTTTCAGGCTCAAACATGAACATGATGGATCACTTATGTTCTGGCACTTAGTTTTACAATTTGTACCCCCCCCCCCCAACACACACACACACACACACACACACACACACACACACACACTAAAAGTCTCTATTCCCTCCTGTCTGAGAAAATATAAAATGACTGAGGCTTTTTAAAGATTAACGTCTTTGGTAGGAACCAATGAGCTCTGAGCTCAGACGCAGACAGAGGAGGGACGGTGTTGAGAGACGGACGAACACACTGGTGGTTTGAGTCTGAACATGAGATTTGTTGATAGATTTCTGATTGGTGATCAGAAAGTCATAGAATAAATCAGATTTATAGATAAAGTTACACAAACTGAAGTGTTGACCTGACTAACAGAGACGGTGTGTGTGTGTGTGTATGTGTGTGTGTGGGTGTGTGTATGTATGTATGTGTGTGTGTGGGTGTGTGTGTGTGTG